ACTCACGCTTCTGTTTGAATTGTTGCACGTAATTGCATCATAAAATATATTTCTGCGAAGGTTCGTTTTTCAGCTTCATTGAATGAGAGACCGTCGAAAAGGTTTTTATCGAAAACAGAGAAAAACGGTTCCGTTTTCTCTAGAAAAAAAAAATGGGTCAATCATATGCAACCGTCAAAACAACATGTTTTGTGTGTTTGTTTGCCTTTTGATGCTGTCAAAACAACCGAACCAATGAATAAATAAATAAAAACATTTTCGCATTTTATCGGATGAAATCGCAAGTCACTGTGCTATCATTACCTGTTTTAGCACAAACGTATTTTTCATGATGTTCAAAATGCCTGTGAAACATCAGTCATATGCCAAAAATATTTTCGAGCGACGAGACCAGTTCAATGCTTTCATTTTCCGTTAATTAAAATCGAAAGTTTAACGTAAAACTCAGACATAAAATCAAATTATACAAAAAAATGAACAGGAAGCGAGTCCATTTGATTGATCATGCAATTATTATTATATGGAATCTAATCACTTTCGATTCATTCGCATCATCCATTCATTAACCTTTCTGTCCCACATATCCAATCACTCATCATTATAAAGCAAAACAAAATTGAAAATAAACGAAAAAAAATTGTCAAAGTCTAATCTAATGAATGGGGTAATCAATTATGACTAATTTGATTTACAGTTAAAATTAAATGTATCCCATTACAGTTCTATACAAATTCAATTTTTTTTAATTTGATGTGTCCTGTTGCCGTATCAGTTGCATCAGTTTTATTTTGTCCCTTGGCTACGTCATTGAGTTTCATTGTACTTGTGTTTGTTTTGTTCTATACAAAGTTTCAAAATTATACACACACTTACTATGATTTATTTCAGTGAGTAAAAATGTGTGTATGTGTGTATATATCCATGGACTAGTTTACATGCTACGAACGCTTAAGAAAGACAAAATTTTCTGCTTTGTTTAAACTTGATTCTTACCATGTGAATTAATTTATTATGAGTATTGATTTTTTTCTCATCGCACATAAACCTTTATTTTACCTAAAAATTTGACCATTTAATTAAATTTAAGTATTTTATATTTAAACATATATAGCAATTTTCTTTTCCCCTTAAAATTGAATTTTTTTATGTTGTGTTCATACAGGTTTGTTGGTTTTATTTTATTTTGGTATGGTTTTTGGAATGGTTTTCCTTTTGCCACGAATTGTCTCCTAATTCAAATGATGATGGTGCGCATTATTGATCATTGTAATCACCTCACACATGTATGTAGTCTGGTTTTGTTTTCGAATCTGCAAACTAAATTGAATTTTAAAATGAATCAAGTACATCTGTACGGCCGATTAAGAGCTATGTTATTGATTTTTAATTCTTTAATTTGATCGGATTTGTTTTTGTCATGGACCATGACTCATGGTTTATTCAATTCCAATACTAATGTGTATGCATCTGTTGCCCTATTTTCTTTGGTTACCCATTGTGAATTTGCCCGGTAGAGAGCAAAAAAGGAAAAATAAACAAGAATTGAATTTTGGCTATCGAAAATTGGTTTGTAATTTGTAGTTAACGTTTTTGTTACTGCATCCACAACACAGAGCTGTTTTAAGTTAGACTGAAGCGAAACGAAACGAAAAATTCGACTGAAATTTCATTCCGAACGAAAAAACGTGAAATTGAGAAGACATTGTTTTGATTTTGTTGTTTCTCACATTTTTCTCTTTCCTTTTCTCCCTCTATCTCTCTTTTTCTCTCCCTTTAAATTTATAAATTAGTTTAAATATGTAGTGTAGATTGTGAGTGTGTGATCGCATTACTTTCGACAGTAATTGTTCGTTTTCATTTTAGGATTCTAAGTGTTTTAAGCGGTTCTCTTCTATTTCCTTGCCTGAATATTTAGTATAATAAGTATAATTTGGCATTATTTTCTTTTTTCCTTTCCCTCAAATTAAACTCAATACTCGATAATCTCACCAGTCTGATTTGAATGATTCGACAAAGAAAATGAGATGAAAATAAAACGGAACGTTTTGCGATTTGTAAAATCAAGAACGTTTTTATATCATTAGGTCAATAGCAAACGTAAACGATTCCCATGGTTGTTAGATTATATTTTTTGATTCTTTTTGCGGTTCTTTCTGGTGGTGGCTTCGAGAAAATCTCATTCACATTTTCTCTACCGATTAATTAGTGTGCGTTGTGTGTATGGAACTTGTTCGTGCATATTGGTTTGAATCCTTTAATCATTGCGATTTTTTGGATTCGTTAAACCAATAAATAAATTGGAAAATTGTATTGACTCCATCATAAGTGGCGCTTTGTATCCCATTCTCTCGTATGCACATAATAGAATTCATTTTTCTTTCACTTAATGTTGTTTATTTTCACTAAGCACTAGTAAATTTATTACATCTATCGAGTAACTGGTATTTTATTTATTTTTCTGTGTAAAATGTGTGGGAAACCCGGTTCAATGTGTCTGGTTTCTCATGATTTTCTTTTAAAAAAACATGATTGCATCTGTTTGTTATTTATGAATGTTCATCGCTTATGTGTCAGTCGGCTACTTGCACTCACTACAGTCTGTTTGATTTGCATGCAGCTTGATGATTTTTTTGTAAGCATTCTGTGAATGCTGGGGTTTGATTTTTATCGATTTTTTTTATATTGAAACATTAATTGGCTTACCTGATATTAATTCCGTTCGGTTGTATTTCTCTCTTCTGTTTAACTTGCGAACTGTGTTTTTCTGACTAGCTATAGCCGCCATATTTCAGATCGAGTGATTTACCCGAGGCCGAATAAAAAGCCAGCAAACGCAAACACACAAACAGGATTCTATTGTATTAAAATGCTGGCAATGCTATTTTGTTTTACGTTAGCTCTTGATTATTTCGATATGAAGCGAAAAACATTTTCACCGAGGTGTTACTAGCTACTAAATGGCATCTGGGTGCCTAGCACTATGGCACTTTTTTGCTGCATTCACTTCTGTCTGTGGTGGCATGTTTTTCGCCGCAAAATCTTGTGAACATAGTGTAACCAATGCGAGGTTTCAAGTGGTTTTCGTTGAAGTGGAAAGTTCAAAATGTAATCAAATCGTGGTACATACTAAAAATTGATATCATTTGATGCTCCTAGCTAATTATTATCGATTTGTGTTTCTCTTCATTTCTTCTTCTTCTTCTTCTTCTTTTTTCGGTTTGTTTGCGATCTTCATTGACCAGTGAATGGTGTTTCACACAGTTTATATAAATGCTACCTTTTGTTGACTATGAGACTTTGAATTGTGTACAAAATCGTTTGTGTTTAGTTGTTGTTCTTGTTGTAAAAAAAAAATGTGAACTGAAATTCTAGTAAAGCAAATGTTTGTGTTGCAAATGCTGTTGGAAAATGCAATTATTTTCGCAATGCGTCGCATCCGTGCGCGCTTTGCCATTATTATGAAAACAATAACAATTGGATTGTGCATGTGCACTTAGTTTATCTACCTAATCGGCTGTGATACCACTATATGTATATAGGTTTTACTTGAATTATTTACTTATTTATTTCTTTTGTCTTGCTTAATTTGCTTGGTTGTTAAGTTCTGATGGAAATATCAACTATTATTATCGGTGAAATGTTTGTGTGTGAATGTGTGTCTTGAATATACGATTCACGTTGGTTTTCTCAAAAACCTTATGTTTTTCGAGTGTGCATTGCTTCAAACGGGATATTTGACATCGTTGTAGATTAATCCGTTGTGAATGGATGAGCGCCAGTGGCAGTGCTCATTTTTAATCTTTTTTCATGTATATATTGGTTTTACTTTCATTTGGCTTTCACCAATAGAAAAATCGAGTGCAAAAAGTGCAAACGAACCGTGCAATTGAATTCAATATATTCAGTTTTGTGTGATTTTGTTGTTGTTATTGTATTGGAGCTGCGTGTTTAGTTGTAACATTTTGTGTGTGTGTGTGTGTGTGTTTAAACCCGTAACTAGATTGTTTTTATTGGAAAAATACGTATTTCGGCGTGGTTTTCCTTTGATTATTTACCTGATATATGAAATAATACACACGGTCTATCTCATTCATTATTATGTGAGCTCATTTAAAAAAAAAACCATCGTCTGTCAATGTGTCACATCTGTGTAGGACACAAAACAAAAATCGAATCTCATAGTGGCATCTCATGTCGTGTTTTTCGTTTCTTTATACATAGCAGTGCTGTCAATTAGCTGGTTTTCAACTCGTTCAACCACAATTCTACGTAATTGTTATTTATGAATATAGTTTCTAGGTTCCTTTTTCTTTTGGCTTTAATTTACATACAAATATACATAAAGTCCGTATTGTGTTTATTATTTTGGAATTGTTGTTGTTGTTTTCTTTGGGTCGGTGCTACACGTTCCAAAAAAAAACTTTCGTTTCTGTTTTATTAAATACAGGCGAGTTTACGTCTTTCGAATTGCGGAAATTTGTGCTGAACCTCGTTAATTCCACTCAAAGTAGAGTGAATGCCCAATTGTGTCGAGATGATCCAAGTTTAAGGCAAATCGCCCACTTGATTTGGTCACGCACGGATCCAGGCAATGGACTCTAAATTACAGTTTTGACATTTCATTTAATTTTACGTCGGTTTTTCTCTCCGGCGAACTTTGTTCATTATTTCATCTTTTTCTCTTCTTCTTTATATTGAATAAATCATTTATGCCTCTTTTGAACAAACAAAATATGCCTACACTCGCTGTTATGCAATTAAAACAATAAATTATCATTCCACACCCCTTCATTTCACGTATATAAATATATTCAAATGGAAATTTTCAACGGTAAACTATACACATCTCAAATGGCTGAATTATTACATTTGGTTTTCGGTTTTTATTTTGGTTAACATAAATATTCATCATAAAGTTTCAGCTAATTTTTAAACAGAGAAAAAGAAAATAAACGATTTGATTTTTATGGTTTCGCCAAATGATTTGTCGCCTTCGTCGTTCTCTTACTTTCTGTTTTATTCTTTTTGGTTTAGTGTCATTGTCGTTTCGAAAAAGTTGTCGGTATTTAATTTTGTTCGACGTTACCGAACAGGGTCCGCAACCAGCCGCGCACAATGTGCCACAGGCTGTTTGCGAACCCAACGTGTCGCTATACTTCTTCTACGGTGCCCATTTTTAACAATTCTTGCTTCTTTTTCGCAATTTTTGAATAAAATATATCAATTGGCTGCGTGTAATCGTATAAGCTGGGCGCCTGCAGTATGATTAACGCTGTACCAAAGATACACATCAATGCAAAAAGCCACAGAAACAAACGATCCAATACCATAGCAACGTACTTCCAATCCTACAAACAAAATAACAAATATTCATTTCGATTAGAAAAAGTGGGCGTGGTCAATAGAATTTTGATTTTGATGTTTTTTTCGACTTATGAATATTCTGTATCAAACAAATACATCCCTATCATACTGATTTGATGTTAAAAACAATTCAAATCAGAGTAGGATTGCATTTCGTTCTTTGAAAACTTACCTCTTCAATCTGAAATGATACGAAAGAAAAAAGAGAATTAATAAAATTAAATTTGAAAAAAAAAAATCGATTTGTTAGAATTGAATGTATTTGCGTTCATGCATTACTTAATATTTACATGCCCGTTGAATTTGTAATGTGTTTAAACTGACAGTGAACTTTGAACAGCTATTGCTTTGGTGATGTCATATTATTGTTTTGACATCATTTTTTGTCTTAGCATAGACGAAATAGACCATCCATGGTACCAAACAAATTATCTTTATTAGCCGGCGCTTGAATGTTTGGCCCGGTTTGGCCATAAATTACCAAATTTATATGTTTACACAATTGTTAGCGTTTCAATAACAACGAAACCATTATGGATAAGAAGATGTATGCGTGTGATACGACAAATTTTGTTACCATTTCAACGGGCCGAGATTTAGGCCGAGATGCAAAGAGAGAAAACCACAACGACCGCTTCTTGAGAAACGATTCTTCAATGCAATGCTCGTTGTATATCGATTAGAAGCTAATAGCTCTAGAGAAGAACACTTTCGAGGTTCACTTAGAAAAAACAAAGATTCGTGTGTGCATGAATTGTGTCAATAAAAGCGCGTTAATGAAGTATTGCCACAGAAAGTAAGTAAAAATGAAACGGAAACGTCACATTTAAATGGTGAAAAGTGAATAATCAGTATGAAAATCTACCTGAATTGAAACGAGAGAGAGAGAAGGCATGAAGAAAAAGTAGAGGGAACAAAAAAATGCTCGTTTTTTATGACTGAAAAATTTGTGGCAAAAAGTCGCTCTAATTTTGGGAACAAATTGCTTCGGGCCACCAAACACAACTGCTCTTCGCATTTCGGTTCATTGCGCCCGATTTTCCATATTTATTCCTTTTAATTCTGTGCGTGGAGCTTTGGCGGGGGAGCATTTGGAATAGCATCATGTTTACCGCTTGAACTCAATGGAAACACAGCGGCAAAAAAGGGAGAACCGACTCAAATTTTATTTATTAGCATGGGACTTCATTTTTGTTTCTTCAGAATAATGATTCGTTGAATTCTGAATTCGCTTTTATTGCGCAAAAACGAAAGTCAAGAATCAAGAATATATATGACATGTCAATACGATGGTGCGCGACCGAAAGGACATAAACATATTTCCGTAATGGTGAATGTTTGAACATGTGACGTACGTACTTTACGCACATCTGCGAGTCGGAATGACGCAATTGGCAACGGCATGAGAACCGGAATGAGCCAATATAAAAACAAATGCGCCATAATAATCAATTGATTTGATTGCAATCGATGATTCCAATGTAACTCCAACATGGGACAAAACAACGCGCTTTTTATAGGTCACATCGTGAAATTCGCGTTTTATTTTGTGTATTGTGTGGCAGAATAAGACAGAAAAAGAGAGGAGAGAAATATAGGACGATATTTCTGATTCTTGCGCACGATAAAAAATCTTCTCTTCTTTTAAATCGCAGACGAAGTGCATATTTACGATACCTAACGGTTTTATTTCTACGTAAACTCAGTTTGGAGAATAGCCGAGTAACTAGAGGTTATTGATTAAGCACCCAGAAATATTTATTGTACTGGAGTTAAGTACCAACTGTAAAAAAGACTGTGAGCTGGCACAGCACACACAAACAATGATGCGATAAGGAATGAGAATTACAAAGCAAATACTGAAAAAAAGGAAATGGAATCCCCTCGAAGATTGTTTTGAACCATTTTTCAATTTTATTTTCCGCTTTCTCCCTCCTTCTTTCTCTCTCTCTCTCTCTCTCTCTCTCTCTTTCTCTCTCTCTCTCTCTCTCTCTCTCTCTCCCTCTCTCTTTTTCATTTGGCTTTTTTCCATTCAACGTTCACCACCAACAGCGATGGATGTTCACATCTGCTTTTTAAACGCTATTCAGGTGAACAAACACTCCTATCATAATCTCATATTATAATACGAGCCTAAGGATAAGAAAACAGAATTCTTCGCCGTAGAAAATGGCCAGGTAAATATTCCGTTTGATGAAAAATACAACAAACTTCAACAATTTTCGTCCGTTCCGGCACAATGGCAGTACACTTCGTTAATTACGTCAATCTCAATAAAATTGCACATAAATATGTTGAATCAACTGGATTTTTACAGAATACCTAAGCAAATGTACAGTTTTTTAGAAAATTGTTCGCTGAAATTTGGTTTAAAATAGAAAAAAAAACCTTTACACTCGAACTTTACAATTAAGGGATGCGATTTTTGTCACTTGATATTCTAGGATTGAATTTTATTGGTATATTTTGAGAATGTTTCGATCGTGTTCTGGTGGAAATTCCAACCATATTTCATAATTTCAAGGAAATAATTAGTTCCACATGACAATTTCATAATGAGTTATAATGTTATGCAATATTTTTCGTCTTTGTAATTCAATAAATCTTCTATCGCTGCCATGGACCCAATGTGAAAAAAATGGTGAAAAAGATTTTTGGAGAGTTTTCGAATGAAAAATAAAAAGAATCACCTTAAATCGACAGACTGTAAAATAACCGCGGAGAAAATATCATTCATTATAGATTCGATTGAGAGCGTTGATGAAAAATAGGTAGAAAAAAAGGTTGTTCAATGGTTCACCCTTTATTTAATGGTCGAAAAAGATTGAAACCCACAAAATTTTCTGCATGGATTTTTTAAAGTCAGGCTTTGTATTTTTAAACAAAGTCCCGAGTTGCTATAAGACGCTTATTATATTTCCAATTAAACAGTTTCAATTTGGACATTAAATATTTGCTCTACGAAAAAAATGTGCCGTAATCACTTTGAAAATGATATTTCATTCAAATTCATCATCTGTATTTATTGTGAATTAATTTGGGTTTTCACAAATGGTGTTATAGTTTGGTATAGAGAGTCACTTTGGTACGGGAAGTTCGATTTCTCCACGGATGCACAGCACGTCGTCTTTATATGATTTGCGTAATTTCTCCATCACAGCGCCCGGCGGAAGAGTGTAGTCGGCTTTGTACACCTTGCAAATATTGAGATTTTTCAAGCGAGCTTTGTCAACGGCTTTCACGGCAATCTTCCCATTTCCCACAAACACACTAATGTCTTCGCTCTTGAATCCCGGTATATTCATGGTTAATTTGAATGTGTTGCTGTTACAATCGATTTTAATTTTGGGCTTCATTTTCAACACCTTTTCGCAATTGATTGGATGCTTGTCCATTTCAATCGGAAGCACTACCGTGCTTGGCGTCGCCGGTAAAATGCGTGAAGATGACATCGTTTTGTTGCACAACTTGATCTGTTTCCTCTATTTACTAAGCAAATTTTCAGGAATTGAACAGAATTTGAAAATTCAATAGACATCGCAGTTTACTTGGATGCAAAATTTGTTCCGACTTGCTAAAATTGTGACTTTATTTCTGTGTGTCGTTGATTTTTTTTCTTCACGCGTTCGTTCTTTGATCACTGAACTCGAAATTAGCTGATTATATTTATTATCGTAGTTTACTCTGCGGAATATATACGTTTGTCAGAGAAAATTAGCGAAACATAAATGCGAATTAAGTTTGCCATTTTCCCGTGGCTTTTCCGCGAGCGGCGCACAACTCTCTGATCTGCGATTCGGGACTCGACGTTTTTTGCATAGTTTATTTTTATTTATGCCGTGTTCACTCCTTTTCACATTGGCAATGGTTATAAATGTGTCAAGCGGGTGCAGTCAAAAACGAAAGCAAAGCATACAATTACACTACACATTGCATATTCATTCCGGAACGCTGTGCCAAGCGAGCACTCAAATCGGAAAGTCGAGAGCGATGCAAAGAGAGCAGCGCACGCGGTGACAGAGAGACAGAGCTAAGCATAGCAACAGAAAATGTGTTCACCAACACTGGAGATTTATCAAATCGAACAACACAACGAACAGCAAAGGGAGGCCCATTCGCCTGTTATGATGTGCTTAGCGCTTGCATATTACATATGTTCTTATGCGACACAACGATAATAAACGGATTTTGTTCGTTTGCCGTGTGGCAAGATGAATGTATAAATGTGTCATTTGACTGCATAAAGGGCACATTGAAGATGCAAATTTGATTCGCGCACATCGTCAATCTAATTATCATAAATAATGGCGTGAAATGTCAACAAAAATGCATTGCCGAACTCAATTTGGCCAATTAGAAACCGGTTCTTTGACCTCAATCGTATAGCTCTCCAACGTGGCTACACGTAGAGATTGAGAATTCCACAAAATTGATCAACACTTACGCTTTCGAATTTATCCTTGTTTCGCATGTGTTGCGCAACAAAACGTGTTCCTTCTATTGTCTTTTCCACTTCGCGTAGCGTTGGTTTTTCGAATGTCGGACTGATGCCGTCGACAACGCAGCATGATGGACTCAGTTCGCCATTTCCAGCCGGGCTAAACAGTTCATCATCGCCGCCCGGTAACGGCAATGCAGGCAATGGCGGTTCACCGAAACAAAGGCCAACACCACCTGATGCAGCCACATTAAATCTCGATGGCATCACTAAACACACGCGCACACAGATGGAGAGGGAGAGAGAAAGAGAGCATTGCAATGAAATGATTAATTTGAATTTTCGCATTTCTCGAAATGCATTGCAACTGATTGGCTCGTTTATCTTTACCTGGCAGCCCATAGTCGGTGGTGTTGTAATCATGTGTGAATTTATCTACGTCTGGATGGCAATGAAATACATCGGTTAACACTTCTGGTGGACCGATATCATCATCGTGTGGTGGATTGTCTTTTTTAGGTCGTTCGATACATAGGATTTTCGGCAGTACATTCATAAAAAATTTCGTAACCCATGGTGCCATTCTATGCGTAACTGGCGATCTACAGGAGAGAGAAAAAAGAGTGATAACAGAAATAAGATTAAAAAAACTCAACGCCCGAAAAAAGAAGAAATAAAAAGTTATTTAGTTTGTTTATTTTGACTGATTCATGGAGCAAACCGTGCAAAAGCAAAAACAAAAAACAGAAAACCATGTGGTATTGGTGTTGCACATCTTCGGTTGGGCATTGTAACGTCCGCGCAAAAGTTGATCCATTATCTCAGTGGTGGCAACACACAAAAACTCCAGAACATTTTGTATAAATAACAATTTTTGCACGTTGTAAATAAGGTGTTTTTGTGTGCAAGAAAATGTGCCGATGGTGTTACATGGAATACGGTAAAGTCGCTGGAAGTATAGCCACAGCGCGGTAGTAGTAGCACAGTGACTACGACAACGATGGTGCTTCGGCTAAAAGCACCATACACTTAAAATGGCGCTCGTAATAAAATTACAAAATTATGTTCTTACCACTGCGTTCGTTCATAATGATGGCGCGTGTGGACTAGCACAATTTTCATTTCGAATGAGCCACACATTTAATCATTTTGAATGGATTCCTCCGAGAAACATACATTCCAATTAAAAAGCAACCACCAAACCATACACGTTGATACTAAACATAAAAGAAATGTGTGCGTATATGCTCGACATGAAGCTCAGCTGCTTCCACAAAATACGAAAAATCACACAGCAACAGCTCGAGTGCAAAGCATGAAAGAGACAAGCGAATTTCCTCGCACTGCCTTCGATGTTTGATAAACAAAAGATATGCTTATACATATACAGACACCTATGCTTGTGTGCGTATGAACAATATGCGACGCCGCGCAGCAATACGGGCGCTCACAGCTTCGGCGAAAAGCTAATAAAGAAGTTCCTAGAAAAACTGACTACACACCGTCTACACTGTTCAGTGTTCATTTGGCATGCAAATTGGCAATCGGTTGCCTTTTTCCAACGCAAGCATTCACACTAAAAACTATTTTCAACCTTGGCAACACTCATTTCATAATGGAGAGAAATTTGTACAAATGGCATCGTTGTTCGAGCGACTGACTAATTTTAACCCCATCTCATTAGAGTAAAGAACAATCATTGGAATTGATGCGCCAAGCATGTCATTAACACTAAAAACAGAATGTGTTGCATTTTGTCTAAGGCCGTTACGTTGGTGTTAAATTCAGTGCAATAAATGAAAACCTTCATCGCTTTTAATAACTCAGCAACAATGCACCGGATAAAAACATTAAACGCTATTGTTTCGATTAGGTTAAACACATCGAAAACATCAACTGTGTGCACTTTGTGTTTTCACAACATGAAAACAGCATATCAACTCAAACAGGACAGCTTTTCGCACACAATCGTATTAATGGTGCATCATACTCACAGCATACGATCAAAATGCACCATAGATTATGCATCAATGAGTAAAATTGGCAGAAAATAGTACATTTTGTACGATGAACAAAAAAACAGCTTCCAGAAATTATCGATTTCATAAAATTTTACGCACACTGATCAATGTCAATTGCTTGGTACTTTCATGGGAAACATTTTTAAATTTAGTTTCAATTTTCATTTTTACAAAAATTTATTCCAAGTTTTGAATTTACATACAAATTTTATGCGGTATGTTTTGATGGAAGGCAGCAATTGGTACTCATTTTTATTCGCGGAAAATGCGAATTAAAATCCATGCCAAAATGAGAAATATTTGCGGTCAAACTCGAGACCGAAGATTGACGATGCTTTCTTCATTGCCAAAATGATATTTTGAAAAATTCAGAAAATATCTGATGATATCTTGTACGCGCTGAAGTATTTATTGCAATTGCACAGTGCACACGTTTTGATTAACGTTACAACATTTTTTGTGCAAACAAATCGCTGCTTCGAATGATATTCATCTATTTTATATTTCAGCCGTTGCATTGTAATGCGATTCCATTTGTGGGAAATTCCAAATGTAAATTAGCATAAATTCATTGGGTTCGCTGCATTGTATGTTTTTGTTCGAAAATAGAATGTAAATTATTTAAAGTTAAGCATATATGCGATGATAACCAGACCACAACAAACATAGTTTCGGTGAGATAACACTGAAATAAGTGCAGCACTGGTGCTGTGTTGATTTCATAATGAAGCAGACAGCCTTTGCACACTGTGCACTCCGTAGAAATATGCATTTATTAAGCACGAGTTCGGGTGTGTTTTCGTTATTTACCCTCCCGCCATTCACTCGAAAATGATCGCGATGCATACATATCCAACAGCGAAATTAATAGCGCTAAAGTGCATCATTACTTATAATCTGTTTTACATATTTATCATGTGCGAGCTTTGAAATTTTCTAATTTCGGCTGGCAATTTATTCACTTGTAACTGCTGACAGTGCACTGCAGCACAACAAGTCTCTTTTTGAATATTTTTTTTATCCCATTTTCAGCAAATTAACCAGCTGCTTTTCATGTTCAGCTGCAATATGTAAAAGCATCGTTGAATTCACGGGAACTCCTGACATTTTCATCAAAACAGAAGTAAATTCCGTTGAGTCTATCCAACCACGATGGCAATTTTGAAATTAACATAAAGCATTATCTTTGTGAATTCGTGAATTTTTTCATCTGTTTAATTGGTTGAATGCAGCTGAAGCAGAATGACGCATTTCGTTTTCGAGAAAAATATGTGCAGAAATGGTTACCATGTGAAGCTTTGTATTTATTTGAGTTCCGAGGTAATGTGGATTTAAGTATATTTCAAATGGAATGCTCATATTAATGACATCAAGAATATGCATCACGAGAAATACTTTCTGAACGCGTTGTGAACGAAACTTTACATTTTTTTCTTGTCATTGGAAAATCCGTCCAAAGCTTTAACCATAATGTAAAGTAGAGTCAAAGTCTTTGATCAAACGGTATAGATTGAGGGGTTCTTTTGCCCAATAGCTAATGGAAATTACGTGTAAACGGTTCATTCATTTCATAAGATCATTCAATTAAAATGCCCTAATTCATTTCACATATAAACAATTATCCCATGAATTTGCCCAAGAAGCTCGTTAAAGTGTTTAGTCTTTAAATGGTTAAAAACCAGTAAAAAATTGAAAAAATTCAATAGCATGCGATATAGTGAAATAGATAGTTCGTTTGACTTACCTAAAGTTAACATTAAGTACGGCAATAGTCACCACAACGGATAACGTAACCAGCATCATTGTAAATAATAAATATTTTCCTAATAGTGGCACTGTAAGCGATGTTGGCGGAATAATTTCGACCAATAGTAAAAAAAACACCGTCAACGACAGCAATATACTGATACACAATGAAATCTTTTCACCCGAATCACTAGGCAAATAAAATACTAATACCGATAAAAAAGATATACCAACACACGGTATGATTAGATTCACTGTATAAAATAATGTTTTGCGCCTTAATGTTATATTGAATATTATATCTGGATATGGTTCTTCACAACAACTATAGTATTTTTCATTGCGTTCGGCGGGCACTTTCATTATATCCCACTCCACTGATATATAATAGTCTTGTAGATCGATGCCAACGTCAATTTTATCGGAATCTTCCGGTTGTTGTAAATGTCGTAAATCCACCTAAAACACGAGAATGAAGAGAGCAAGAAGAAGAAAAATTATTATCACAAGATTTGGAATCAATTGAACGCTCCTGAGCATGAATATATTGGAAATTTTCCTTTTGAAATTGACAAAACGAGAATGAAAAAGTAGCGCATTATTATTTTCCTGGTGCATCGAATTCGATTGGATTGCCAAGGAAAAAATCGATAATTTTTCATTAACTAGATAGAGATGACGCCTCCGAATGAAGATAAATTGATTTTTTAATGGCAACGGGCTGTGTGCATACATCATCTTCTGCGTTTGCACCAAATCGCTTAGTGCTTTCACATTAAAAATGTCGGCAGACGGATGAATTGCAATTCGGTTCAAATTTCTCGCAGTTTATGCGTTTGATTAAATTTTTTCGCTTCATAAATCTCTCTCTCTCTCTCTCTCTCTCTCTCTCTCTCTTTCTCTATTTCCTCTCCATCTGGGTCGATTTCTTCCTCGCACTCCTCGCTCATTTGTTGAGTTCATCAAGCGAAGTGCGAATACAGTTGTTCTCAAATAACTAACATGACGCTGATTCTTGCTGTCAGTTCCAACTCAAACAGTTTCTCATCAAAAAGTATTTTGAGATCGATTGACAACGAAAACGAATGAAAAAATTAATCAAAATGGCGAATGGAGAATGAATACGCTTGGAATTTGTTGCAATACTTGATTCAAACTCACGCAAATACACACACATACAAACCAAATTTAAAGGGAAAACGCGTTTGTTTCACGTGCGCTTGTGTTGAACATAAAACAATTTTGTATGCCGATCGAATAACAAAATGCCTTTTATCAATGAGATGCTTTTATTTCTATTTTGTATCGCCTTGCGTTGGAAGCCATCTTTGATGCGCGGCACTTAAAATATCGAATAGGCGAAAAAATTGACGCCATTAAAGTGAAACATTGTCGTTTTTATTCGCGAGGTGTAAACAAATTCAGTTCGAATATCATGTTACGCTGCATCGCAAATAATAAGCGATTCAAAAGCGAATTCTAATACGCGCCGAGCAGACGTTCACGTCTATTGTGGTGTATGCGAGTGTAAATTTGCAATCAATTCGCTTGTTCGTCCGTTCGTTCGTTCGCAGAACGTGCATATACATGAAATATGATGAAAGCAATTTGATTTATTATGTGAATATTATGCTCACACGATTTCATACATGTTTAAACGATTAATCGTGTTTGCTATTCGAGAAGCTAAAAACAATCGAAATTGTTGAAAAAAGGAATAGATTGGAGAATAGCATCGTATACAATGTGTTCGGTTTGGCGCAGCTGAGCAAGAGATAGACAGTGAATACAGTGTGAAAAAAAAAATCATTAAAATCTATGAAATAGATTTATCGACTGCGTTAAATCGTTTCATACGCACTAGAATTCGAATGCCAACATGAAGCGATCAAAACAAAAGGCACGCAGTGAACGAGAGTGAAAGAAAAAATGTAATAAGAATGGCGTACGTTCGTTGTATTGAATATGCATGTTCAACAATTTATTATGTTTTTTGGCGAAACAATGGGCAACAGCAAGATGACTAGCTATGCATAACCGAGAGAATATACAACGCAAAATGAATATTCCCAAGGCGTAAATGGCCAAAATATGCAGTGATTGTATAGCACCATTCCAATCTTGCTCGATACGTGCATGTATTTCTCTCTCTCTCTCGGTGTGTGTGTGTGTGTATGATGAGCAGAGAGCAGATATAATGGGTCGAAAATGAAATTATATATTCGCATAGCATTCGGTTGTCCTTATGTATGTATCGCTGCCACTGCTGCTGCATATACATAAACATATGAAAGAATATTTCTATTGCATAATTTCTGCCATCAGGCAAGCAACGCGCGCACAGTCCCATAGACACAACGAAATAAATAAGCAACCAAATTCAATGCAAAACGGATGTATTGGAAGTATATTAACGGCAACAACGACAGTGAAACGAGAAAGGGAGAGAGAAAAAAAAATTGTTGAATCTCCGCATAGATGCGTCTGCAAATTCATTTTAAATTTATTACACATTTTATTTATGTGTTTTTATTCATTCAGTGTTTTCATCTGTGTATATTTTCTCCTGTATCTCACTGTCAATGCCGCAGAAACTCGCGCTTTTTCTCTGTGTCAGGCATTTAACTCAACCAAATTCACACGATTTCGAAGATGTAAATAAATGCGAAATTAAATAAAATTTGACAATATATTTACTACCAACGTCAACCTTTTCTCTGCATAATTCTCGAATTCATTTTCGGAAAAGAGACAAAGAGCAGATCAGCAACAACAATGGAACTCTTTACAAAATTTTTCTTTCATACGTTAGTATGTGCATGGATAAGACATAGACATTTGGAAACGTTGCTTTGACAAGCAAATTTATCTTGTACGGATTCCGTGTACCAGCCATTTTTTTTATTGTCAATTGCAAAACAACCCAATCTATGGTGTCAACACCATACTCCTGTGTTGTTTCAGCTCAAATTTCCACCACACAAACACAACAGCAACGGCAGCAAAACCTTAATTTGTCTATTTCAGAGTTGCAATTCTCTCTTGATAATATTTTCATGTTGCTTCTACACAAATCCCCTGCGAAAATATGTTCTTCAATCTCTCGAAGCCACAATTCTCCGCTGAATTCTCACTTGAACTTGCACCAAATGAACGTCATGCAACGACAGATTCATTGAAATTTACTGCAACAAAATGTTGTTACGGGTTGATATTCATGAATAAATACTAAAAAGCAATTTTATTTGTCAACTTTTTTCCAGGACTTTGTGTCATTCGACAATTGCTGCTTCCTTAAATATTGAGCAAAAAAAAAAAACGAAAAGGGATTTTTCTTCGCAACTGTTTTGCTATAACTTCCAAGTGAAACGTTCACATTGTATTCTGAATATGTCATTGCCAGAATAATGTCGTGTTTTGCTTTTTTATTCACTTAGTCATTTTAATTGGACACTTTACATGAGAGACATGCTACGGATAATCTCATTACCAACTTTTCTGACCATGTTCAAATAATTATCAAATGTGCACATTTGAGAAAATCAGACATTGAATGTTTTCGTCGGAGAAAAATCATTCTGTTCAAAATCATTAGGTCATTTTGTTAGTTTTTCACCAATTTATTACTCGAAATGTTGTTTCTATTTTAAAAACTAAACTCAATACTTCAATTTGATTTGTATGACTTTGATAAATTCAATGAAATACGAGATGAAGCAGACGAAAGGGAAGCATGATTTCTGAATTTTAGAATTGTGATTGATCCAAATTGAATGGCATTCATTGGTTTCATTGAAAAAGCAGATGTCGTTGCATGAGGAGCTATAAGCGTGGTATTTGACCTCAAACACGCCTGGTAATAAACGCCCGCCTGAACATTCGTGATGAAATTGTGTGATTGGAGGTATATAGGTTTTGGAGACAAAGGTTAAAACCAACTGCACATTTCGCGCGGAAAATCGCTCATAATACAAATACCGATTCCAAACACATTTTCAAATGTTAACAACGATAGCAACAGCAATAACAAAATAATGAAAGCAATCATTCGGTCAATTTTGCAACAGAAGCGAACAAAAACTAGTCATTAAACATGTATATGCACGAGTTTTTGGTTAAAAGTCAAATTATACACGATTCAAAACCAAGGGGGAAACTACTACTACCGCGTAATTCATATTAATACAATCTAGTACAACACAAATTCTGGAAAATTCCAAAAAATTCTGCGCAATTCAAAACAATTCCAATCAATTCCGATGTTCCTTAGTCAAATTTGGTGATGATCAACTCAAAATATTACAAATATAGGAACATTTACCATTCATTTGAATGCATATTGAAGATTTTACTTCTAGAACATATTTGACTTGGTTTGATCTACAAGACTCAATTCTAGCTCTGTTTTCTATTTTGAAAATATTTTATCATCACTTTACCTATTTGAAGTGAAATATTGAATTGGAAGTGAGACCTATGTACAATTAAAAATGCCCTATCTGAAGTTATTTCGATAAGATTGAACATCTATGCGCTTAAGCATTCCTTTGAGATGCTAAATGACCCTATATTTGCAATTTTTGAAGTTGATCATCATCAAATTTGACTTAGAAACATCGGAATTGATTGGAATTGTTTTGAATTGCGCAGAATTTTTTGGAATTTATCAGAATTGATGTTGTACTAGATTGTATTAATATGAATTATGCGGTAGTAGTAGTTTCCCCCTTGTTCAAAACGGACTGGCGATAAATATTGAATGATCCATATTTCATAAGCATTTAATTTCAGGCGACCGCATTTTCGAGCAACAATCACTCCAGCGAAAAAGTGTCATTGAATACCTGTTGGCACTGCATTTTTGACCAATTTCTACTATGGCTATTGAACGAAGTGGCCTTTTACGAAAAAGCACTTTAGCACATTTGAAATGGCACAATGTTGCTGCTTTTAGTGTTTGCATCGAATATAGCTTTTTTTCATGACTTATGTCATTCAATTAAAGCTTCAAATAATAATGTGGAAATTTACAATAAATTCATAATTAAAATGGATTGAAGAATCATTGATCGAAATAATTGATGGAATATTTCAATCCGAATAGGTTTTACGGTTATGCTAGAAAAAACGGTAAAATTGTGATATGTTATTGAATGACATATTTCAATTAAAGTGTGAGTATTAAATGCATTAAGAGCCAAGATTTCAATTAATTCATCGATAAATTATTGTAAATTGCATTTTGAACTGTCAGGTTAAGTGGGAATGATGTCAAATCAATTTGGTAACAATTCAATCGACATACGTTATCATTTGGCATTTGCGTTGGAAGTAATTTTCTAATGAGTAAACACTCTGCATGTGACTTTTGGTTTAACGTCATCTCAAGGAAACTGGATGATCTTTTGTAATATTTATTTCCATTGGTATATCAAATGTAAATCATGCAGAAAATAGGAAAAATTGTACTCAACTGTTGGACAAACAATTAAAATTAGCTCAGTGATGATTATCAGAAGCCAACATTTGGTCTGAGTCCATGTGGGGTTCATCGGTATTTTTGAATCGCACAGGAATATCTTGACCGGAATTTGAACGACAGCTCATGATTTATTATTATTTCTCTGTTCGATACTCTATGTACGTTTGATGGATAAAACAATATGAATTAACTGTTGGTTTTCACATGAGTGATAAAATCGTCCTTAAATTGATGCTGCACATTTCCCATTAAATGTTTATCTTCGATATGCATCCGAATGGCGTATTGAGGAATTGAGAATTCCGACCATTATTAAGACAAGGATGGAACACAAAGGGATGTTTGCCATATTTAAACCGCATTTGAAATGTTATTGATTATATCGTTGGAACGATTTAAATTGAATTTGAATTCTCTGGGAATGCTTTTGATTTGACACCAGCATCATTGAACCTTGCTCTTGAGCAAATATTATTATCGATACCCTAAGTCTCCTCGAATTGATTATGTGCAAATGATTTTAGTGTTTAATTGCATCTGATTTCAATCCGCAATCGTATCGCACGCACAATGGCAAATCATTTCGATATGCAGGTGCATTATGGATACAAACACACACCGCACAGTTGCAGCTCATGAATAAAATAAGATTGGAGTGGAACACACTTCAATTGAAACTCATCGAATGAGTTGAATTTTAAATTTTGTTTCTCTTTGCGGTTTGATGCATAATAAGTCATTGAATACGGTTGATGAGAAGAAGACAAAAAATCTTATAGCATGTAGCTCCGATATATACATTCATTCGGATAAAATATCGAATGTTCATCATTTTGCCTTGACAACGATATTCTGCTTATTATTATTATTGCCATGATTGTAGTTTATGTAAATGTAATTGTCATCGTCATCGTCGTTGTCGTCATTAATATCCATTTGATAGGGAAAAAAATTGCATCACATTACGCTTGACTAGCGTTGAATGTGTGTAACCGTTGACGACTGCAATGGCAGCTCTGCAATTTATTGTACTACGCCATCCACTTGGTACAAATTCATTCATTTACAGTCAATTAAACACCAGTGCAAGCGCAAATTGCGGATGCACCACCATCACGCTCCATGGACGATGTAACCGAATCACAAAATCAACGAAAAAAACACTAAAAATGAAAAACGCGGCATCGAAACAAAAAAATATATATAAAAAGAAAATAAATTGTAAAAAAAATGGATAAAAGTGTAAAAAATAGAGAAGAAATATGGGAAAAAAGTAGATAAGACCGAAAAAATGGAATTCTTTATATAACAAAATAAAAATGTCGCATGTGATGTGCACTGACTAAAAATTATATCGCAAAATTGTAAAACTTTCCATTAACTTTGAATGTCATCGTCTGGGTAGAAATGCGGCAAATATGCCGGTCACAATTCACCAACAAAAACCCAATATAGTGATAAAATGCAAATAATTTTATTGCAGGGCAACTTCTGAAACAGCAATAACGTCCACTGCACTGGTCAGTGGTCACTCTCAACAACACTACATTTTCAACCCATTGAAAATGTGTTCACTTAATCATCAGTTTGGAATTCATCGGTTTTCTGTCGCTTGGAGGTTACATTGTCAATTAGTTCCACATGACCTAATTGATTCATACAAAAATTTACCCGTTGCCTGAGGCATTGTTAAATGTTCGAAATACCTTCTCGCCGAACACCATCTTTGTCACCATCAAAAACTTTGTTCAATGTTCAATTAATCAACTTCGTTGCAACAGGAAAAATGCACCAAACTAACTACATCTATAGAAAGAGTAAAACTGGTCTTACCGTATATCCATCTGAAAAGTAGATGAAAAAAGGAAATATATCAATATATTTTCATTTCTTTCAATTTCAATTTTTTTTCCTTACCGTATGCCCACGAACCGAATTTCATGAAACACGTTTGTTCGTCAAATGGAAAATATTCTACATCGATTTCACAAAATGATTTATAAATGGCTGGCGGTTTCCAGACCACTTTGCCAGTATGATGCAGAATTGCTTTTGTCATTATTGTCACCTCATAATTTCCATCGGCACTGCAGTTCCGCGTTGTTGGACATATATGATGATGTGTCGGTGATAATTTTTTTTCCCATTCATTAGTTGTGTCGTATGCCGTATTATTCATTTTGACGATTACAATTTTCGATTTGAATGTTGGCGTTTTTTTCCCGTAGTCGTCGTTCGTGTCACAAAGTTGCAGCGTGTCAAAATCATGGGAGACATGTGATGATTGAAGTGACAAGACAAGTTGATTATTGAGTGTGAATGAACGCAGCAACAGCATTCCATTAGCAAGATCCCGGCAGCGAACGTCATTTTTTTTCAAGTGTAAGGCATAACATGATATATGTAAAAACGATGACAAATTATATTTGAATTCAGTGTGACAACGCGATGTTGATGATAACACAATCGAACGGCGTAGCGCATATTGAACACGACCGCATCACACGTATACAGCAGTGCATCGACAGGTGATTATGTTCGAATTTGAGTGCGGCATTAATATTTTCCAGCAAAACGAGTCCACGATGAGATGATGGTTGCATGAAAAAAAGGGAGAAAAGAACAAGAACGAGATACATGAGAAAATGTGGAAAAATATTGGATTTGTTTGATTGTTGTTGTTGCTTGTCGAGAAATCGCCACAGATCAACCCATTCATTTTGAAGCGTCACAGCTCATAAAATGTAACAGAAAACACAAGTCAAATTTCGGATTGGAAAAGTTTCAAAAAAACTAAAACAAAACAACCGAAACGGGTTGCAATACGACGAAAAACCTTTTGTGTTAAACGAAATGCTTTGATTCCAGGGCAAAATTCCCAAAAAAAAAATTCCCGATCCACAAAATTCCCAAAACAAAATTCCCGAAAAAAATTCCCAAAAAAAAATTCCCAAAAAAAAATTCCCGAAAAAAAATTCCCGAAACGAAATTCCCGAAGACAAAATTCCCGAAAAAAAATTCCCAAAAAAAATTCCCAAAAAAAAATTCCCGAAAAAAAATTCCCGAAGACAAAATTCCCAAAACGAAATTCCCAAAAAAAAATTCCCGAAAAAAAATTCCCGAAAAAAAATTCCCAAAACAAAATTCCCAAAAAAAATTCCCGAAGACAAAATTCCCAAAAAAAAATTCCCGAAGACAAAATTCCCAAAATAAAATTCCCGAAGAAAAAATTCCCGAAGACCAACAAATGATAGCAGCCGGGGCATAAACAACGCTACGGCTTCGCATCGCTGTCGCCTACTGGTGCTAGCACCTGTACACTCACACATAATGTCAAAATCAATGTCAAATTCGTCAACACAAGAGTGAAAAAGTTTCCATTCAGTGTGTGTAGTGCAGGTGCTAGCACCAGTTGGCGACAGCGATGCGAAGCCGTAGCGTTG